GTTAAGACTTTTTCAATAAAACGTTGTGGACATGTTTAGAGACCGCCACTGCCCATGAATTTTAGAAAATACAGAAAAATTGTTTCCTTCCGAGATTACATTTAAGAAACGATCATGCAGTTTATTTATTTAAATTTATCTATTTCATTTTGTATTTGCTTCTCCTATTTACCACCATGTTACCTTTTTTCGGATTTTCTAAGTATTTTTTTTTTCTTAAATACCAGTATGACATTGTATTTTTTCTGAAAAACATTCCTTTTCTAAACTTTCTTTTCTAAAATAACAATTTAGAAAGGGGGACACTGAAAAATCCTTATTAAAGTATTGAAATTATAATGCCCCAACAAGGTTTTTTTAAACTTTTTCGGGGTTTTTATGAAAAAAATTGGGAGGGGGGTTTTAGAAACGCGGGCTTTTGTAAACTGAAAAGTTTTTAGGGAAAAAATGCAACTTATTTTTCTGTAATATTTAAAAATAAAATATTTAAAGGAAAGTGGATCTTTTTATTTTTGGTTTTTTGTTTTTTAAAATTAAAAAAAATTAAAAAACCCCTTGGTCGCATTGTTTTTGACGGTTTTCCCATTTAAATCTATTGAACTCCCCCCACATATTCTATTTAAAAAGCCCCTTGTCTACATTTAGCTTAAAGCACTTTTACAGGAGAACATCGTAGTTTGACTTTATTTAAAAATGTTTTTTTTTTTCCCTTGATTTTTTAAATTTAAAAAAATCCCCAAAAAACTGGTTGTACTGTAACAAGTTATGAAACAAATTGCTCTTTGAAATTTTTAGAAATTTTGCCTCATTTTATCTTAAAAAAAAAAGAAAAATAAAAATTTAATTGGGGCACATTTTGCTTATTTAATATTTTGGTGAAAATTTCACAAATTTAACCATCGGTATTCACATAAAAAAAAGAAAAATTTCGTTTTTTAAAAAAAATTTTTAAAATATCGGGTTTGGCCCTTCATTCGGGATTTCTTTAAGATTTTTCTACTGTATTCCTTTTCCCTTCATTTTCTTCTATGAAATTTTAACATTGGGTTAAATCTATCTAAAGGGAATGTGGGCACTGCTACTTGGCGTTTTAAAAATTGCCCTTTTTTTTAATTTTTTTTCATCAATCCCAAAATGTAGACTTTTTACATTTATCTCCCCCCTTTTAAATTTTTTTTCCCTTTGGGGAAACGATTTGTTTTTTAAAATTATGTTTTTTTTCACAAAAAATTTCAATTGATCGGTTTTGGGTTGTTGCATTGTTTTTTAAAGTTAACAAAAATTTGTGGTCTTTACGGACAAAGGGTCCCAAAAACGTTTCGGTGAATGGCAAAAAATCAATTTTCAAGGAAGAAAACTTTTCCCAAAAATTTTTTAAATTTAGTTTGCAACAAAAAAACCCACCCCGGGAAAAGTAAATAAAGGCATTCAAACTAAAATTATAGTTTTTATAAACCCAACAAGGAAAAAAGGGAGGCACGCCCAAAAACAGGGCTCCCCCCCCCCCCAAAATTCTCTAAAGTGAGGGGTTTTTTCCTGTTTAAGTGCTTTCCTTTTTAAAAAACAGAAAATTAAATTCCCAAATTTTCAACGCAAACGTGCCCCGACTACTTATCCCAAATGATATCTAAATCAGCGATTTCAGACACTTTTGTGCGAGAACAATTGTCACAAAAAACAACAACAACGCCCAATTAGGAATCGAACCAGCTACTTCTGGCACGTGCTTATTAAGCAGTAACATGACCATCATTACTCTTACATGATAGGGTAAATTAATAGCATCTGTAATAGTGGTTAAAACAGTTATAGGTTAATTCACTTCAAAAAAAAGTAAAGTTTCAATATTTCTGATCCAGGTTGGATATATACCTATAAAAACCTTCACAGGGACACAGTCGTGCAGATTTGATTTTTTTTAAAAATCACGTGTTTCTTTCTGTAAAAAAAATCCCAAAATCAGTGAACGTTTAATATATACCATTTAGGACTGATTTGAGTTATGATCGTCATTTATGTTTTGTTGTGAAGTTGGAATTTGGGCTTACACTGATTTTTTATGGAATACCTCTTTCTTTGGAATTGGGGCCTGTTATGCCAGCTTCTCAAATGTCCGATGTGTTGCAGTGATAATTAACTACTTGCTGTCATAAATAACCAATAATAATAACTTTATTTTACCTAAGGTAAACACATTAAGACATATTACAGATTACAACATCTTATTTACAATGCGGCCTTCTAAAATAAAAAATAAAAACACACACAAAAAGAACACATATCAAAAAAGAAATGAGCAACCGTAGGTACTTCACTTCGTAACGTTAACTTTCAATATTTCAATATATGTCCCCTCTCATTTGCATCGCAAATGAACTGAATACATAATTAATGTTTTCACACTGTCAGTGTGTCTCGACGGAGACTGTTTGAAATAGAAATGTTTTAAATGAAATTCGTGACCCATTGCCCAAACACTGACTGCCTATATTTCAGGATTATACTGAATTTTACACAGGCAATTTTTCTGTTCGTAGACTACATTTAAGAAAATAAGTTTTTTATTGCTTATGTTTTCCATGTTATTTCTTTCAGGATCTAAATTTTGCGTATGAATTTGGTTTCAAAAACAATAAAAATTTTCTGAAAAAAACATCTTTTTAAATTTAAATTCTGTATAAAAAAGAAGTTAAGGGACAAATTTAATTGATTTTTAAAATGCGTGCGGGGGGTTTTTAAAAAATTTTTTTAAGTTTTTTTTGGGCCCAAAGTCCAATTTTGATCGGTTTGGGGTTTTGGGTTATCAGAAATTTTTAAAAATTTTGGAAAATTAAACTGTAGGTTTAAACGTCAAATTTCCCAAAATAACTTTTTAGTAAATTTAAGGGTTAAACCCAAATATTTCAAAAAAAGTAAACCTTTCCGTAGTTTATTTTTTTAAAATTCTTTGTTATGCAAAAAATTGAAAATTTTAAAACTCTGGAGGGCCGGGTTAAAATTTAAAATTTACCCCATTCTACCAAGATAGCTTTAAGAGTTTAAATAAAATCTTGTAAAATGATGAAGTTGTATAAAAATTGTTTCTTTTTTATCGCGGGCTGCTAAAAAAAATTTCCTGTTTTTTCTTTGCAAAACCTTGTGAAAATGACTCTTTGTGGGTTGTAAGTATGTAAATTATATGCCCGGATGTACAGCAATTTTTTAAAAAATTTAATCTTTTAAAACCCGAAAATTTCAGCTTTTTAAAATTATAATTTGAAAAAAATTTGTTTTGAAAAAAATTAAAAAAAAATTTTTTGGGTTCCATTTTATTTAAATGGGACGGGATAAAAATATAAGTGAACAAAAATTATTCAAAAGGGTTTTAATTTTAAAATTGTAGAATTTAAATGTAATTGCATTTTTTTGGCTTTGGGTCTTTGCTTTCTGATTTTGAAAACCTTGGGTTTTTTATAAAGTTTTTTTTCAAAAAAGGGTTATTTTGGAAACATTTTTAAAAAACGCAGGGTTAAATTATTTCAGATTATTCCCAAAGAATTAAGAAATGAAAGAAAATTCTTCGTCCGAGACTACATTTTAGAAAAGATCGATCATTTGCTTTTATTTATTGCTCTGTTTGTTTTCGGGTCTCTAAGTATGAAAGACAGAAATTCTATTTTCTATATCTGAAAAAAAATCTCCGTTTTCCAACTTTCATTATATAAATAAAATGTATAGACGGACGAACTTAAATGAAAAATAAAATTATAATGCGCGCAGGTAGTTAGTTAGGAAGGTAGTTATTAACTATTTTTTACGGGTGCTTTATTCAACAATCTGATTGGCTTGTTACACTGCAGTTTTCACTGCTTACATTAAATTGCAGGTCTTTACGGACAATTGTGAAATCGTTTAATGAATGGCTAAAATCAATATTTCAAGGAAGTAGAGCACCCCGCATAGTTAACTTTGATTTAAATCTTTGTTATGCAATAAATGACAACTTTAAACATCCTCGACACAGTGGTTGCTGACAAGGTTATGATCAATTTAATCCATTAAAACCTAGACCTGCATTAATAAGATAAAGCAATGTTGGAGAGGTACCATCAGTGATTGATGAGATGTGTGTTAAATAGTTTCATTTATTTCAATTGGCTGTCTAAGTAAACAATCATAGAGCATTTTATGGAAAGAATTGAACAATGAGTATTTGTAATGTGAAGAGTTACGTAACGATGCTACTGGGCGAGTTAAGCGCTTGCTTTCATATGTATAATTACAGATCTGTTAAATTGCAGTTTGTACAGATGAGTGTAAAGTTACAGAGCAATCATTGGTTAATCACTTTTAAATAAAATGTTTAAAATAAAACGGTTTATCTTTGTTTTTATTATTTTTTAAAGTTTATTCCGCAAGAAATTTTCTTATTTGATTCAACCAGAGACTGCAATTATGGGTTTATTTGTGTTTCAAAATAAGTAAACCAAAAGTAGCAAAATTGCTTACAATATTGTAAAACATTACTTTAATTTTGCTTACTTTAACATAGAGGCAATATAGGGAGACCATGTCTTCAAAAATGAGCGCAAATATCCACATTCTATTGCGAAGCCAAAGTTCCAAATCTAAATGTAGTGAATTACTTTCACACTCAGCTCGTCAAGTAGATCAAAGAGGGTCTTGGCGAGAGCTTTTCAGTCAAGTTTCAATTTATTATTGCATTTATACATAATTTTATCAACGTGTTAATGGTTCTTATCAAGCTTGTAGAAACAAACGAACCCATGAAAGATCAAACATGCGCTTAGGTACATTTAAAAATTACGCTTTATCTTGTCGCTTCACGGTTCAGATTGGAAACTCCTCTTCTGTAAGTACCCCTCTAAACTGGGTAAAAAGCTTGGTCTAGAAGTTTGCGGTTCCAATACAATTGTCTAATAAAATATGCTAATGTTTAACCCAGTAAACCTGTTTCAGGAACCTAAGGAGGAAAAGACTTGCAATAAAAAACTGATAAATTAAGTACATATCTATGTATTCTTAATAAATAAATTAACAATAATTTGGCTTTTAAAATGCATGTTGTTCGTTTGCGGACAAATGCAGTTTGTAAAATGTAAATGATTCTGACACACTAAGTAACGAATTCTTCATATACTCGGTAAAATGTATGTTCTAGATTCAATATCTGTCGGGAGCTTGGTCACTATAGACGCGTCTCTTTTACACAGATCCCAAATAAGCACTCTACACAGGCGTTTCAAAGGCCAGACTTCTTTTGCTCTTTCGGACAACTCCTTTTGTGCTATTTGAACGTACTTCTTCATATGATGTGGAGGTTTCGTAAAGTCTTTGTTCAGGATGTCAAGAGTTTCTTTCACACATTGACGAGTCATGAAGAGTGACAAACCGAGCATAGTCTGAACATTTTCCGTGTGGTCCGCTGGTGTTGAATGTGAACTGAATTCTTTGAGTTCTGATAACAGTATATCAAGGAAAGTGTTAATGACGTATTTCCCATTTGAAGCCTTAGCGTTCGGATCTGCTCCCTGTCGTAAGAGATATTTGAATATATCTGTGTCTACACCGAGTTTTACAGAGCATTTTGCGAATTGATGAAGAACGGTTCCAAATCTGTTACTGGTTTTATCACCGATTCTTCCGACTGAATTAAGTTGAGCCTTGTTTTGGATGAGCACCTCTGCCATCTGAACAACAAACCTTACTCCTAAGGCCTTTGATTCTAAATATTCGGAAAATATTTCAACTGTTTCTAATAAACAATGCATTGCAGAGCTGTATGACATGCGACCGTGTTCGGATTTTACACCACGTGCATTGAGTTTCTTTTCAGCCTCGGTTTCATCAAAATTTGGATCTGCGCCAGCCTCGATGAGAATTCGAAGACACATGACGTAATGCCTCGTGTTGACGTAGTCATACACGCAGACTGAATTCTTTATCAAGCTGTACATTGGGTATGTGTTTGGAGGATTTGTTGTTTTAACACTGTATTTATGTTTCACTAGTACTTGAGTAACTTCCGGTAGTCGTCTGTAGCCCTCGGTACCAAACTGCGTCGTCTGGCTGAATGTATACAACATGTGAAAAAAGTTTCTCTTTCCAAACATGTCATCTGTTTTGACCTTCTGCTGTAGCAGAAGATCGAGACATTGAGCACTGGCTTTCATCAGGGATACTTCTATTGCCTTTTTAATGTCGTCTGCTTTCGGTTTGTCTTTTTTGAGAATTAGCTGTAGAGATAAAACTGACTGGGGTATACAAGCTAAGGCAACGTAAGGGAAATCGGTGAAATCTGCGTGATCTTGAAGCACACATTGTGTCAAAATCTGTTTTACACATGGAAGATGACCAGCTTCTGCTGCAATATCTATAGGTGATATCTGAAAACAAAAGTGAAATATATATTATTGTTAGTCTAATAATAGTTTTGTGAAATAAAGTCAGCTATTTTTGTTTGAATTGGACTTTCTTGGAAAAGTAGAAATGAGCAATTTGTCGGGGGAAAAAAATCTTTATAGTGGGAATGTTTGTGCAATACGAGATTTCATATATGGGTTTTAGTTTGGAAAATGTTCTTTAGCACAGCTTTAACTTGTAAATCTTCTCCGATCAATGGCCAGCTATTGAAATAGTCTTATTATTATTTGTAATTAACATATGAATTAATTAATATATAAAACGTAGGAATATATTTCGTCATATATTTGAAACGTCATAAATAAGCAACACTTTTATATCAGCATTTCCGGCAAAATCTGATTATTGTGGTGCATGCACTATTAATAAATAAATCAAACAAAAAATGAAACACACTTTAAAACTGTCAAAACATTTAATCTGGCTGTAAGCCATTTAAATCTTGTTTTACAAAGTACGATATAAAACACGAACCAGCACTTGTATTTAAAGCACCAATGACAAGGATAGTTTATGGATTATATTAGAATGAGCTTATAACTTCCCGAAATACAACCCTTTCATATAAATTATGCACTCTTTATCCTGTACGCCTCCAGGTGATTAAATACATTGAAAATACAAGATATGCTCGTTTTAATAATTGAAAAAATATATACATAATCTCACTTATGTAATAATGTTAATATTTTATGCGTAATGTGACATATCGTCAAATATCTTCTCATTGCTGGCGGAGTTTCTTTTTCTACATAATTTGATACGATATAGATATAAGATACCTTAGACTAGGCTTTATTTCTAGACTTTACAACTTTTTATATTTGATTTTTTTTAAAGTTTCAAAAATATTGATACAACGGTGGAGGTGATATGCTTAAGATTAGACGTTTATATGAATATACTAGAACAATGAATATTTAAGAAAGTTCATTTGCCCTTGACATTCAAATTCCATTGTAATGGGTAAAAGTCATAAGTTAAGCTAAAAATGCATCCGGACCATTACCTCTCTACGTTTCTCTATAATTCCGTTGCCGTTTTGATTATATGTGATTTTCTTGCTGGGTCTATTATCATCTTTACGGTACTGTGAAATGATGTTCAGACAAGTTCTGTAGCCGAGGTAACATGCAAGATTGGCATAAAGATTTGTCCTAGGTTCAAATGGAGCCTGAAAAATATAAAAAAAACTGCTGATTAGTAAATATCAATTTTTGAATGGTTACTATAAATTTGATCATAAGTAGTCAAATTTAATTGAAAGTGTATACCCGAGGGTACTATAATGTGGGTATGTTCTAAATGTGCTATTTACTTAAATATCTTCCTCTGATTTGAAACTTACTGAAATCTAAATACTAGGAAAAACAAGAAATTGTAAAGGGTTTTTAAAAGCTTGTTCTTTAGTTAATCCACTTTAATCAGAAATGTTTTTTATTTCTGTATTTGTGAAAAAACTCTTAGAAATGTTACTTGATAAAAATAATTATATTTAAACCAACAAGTATACGCGAATGATTACATTTAAATTATCGTTTTGAATAATCAAGGGCCATTGAGTTAGGCGTAATTGTATCAGACGCTGGTCAGCACCTATATTGAAAGGTCCATTGTCTTAAATCTGGCAAAAAGGCGGCTTACTCGGACTCTTTTCTATAACGATATTAATTTCAGATTAAGTTATTTTTAATCATTTACATATATCAATATTCCATGTCGACCTCAATGTAAGATATCAGTTGAACATAAAGTCACAATCAAGCCATAGAAAACGTTATAACGAAGTTCACGTATTACATTTGACAAAATTGGCAAAACAATTTGTACAAGGTGATCCAAATTTATTGGACTATGACAACAATTATGCATTCTTAAGTTCATTACATAGTTGTCAATTAGTATCATTTACTGACGCGACCACTACATGTCCCACCTTTTGTGCCTTCTCCTGCTTTTTGTTCGGTGCCTTACTGAATGCCCATGCGGTAGTCCAGTGTAACAGGATTTTGTCGGGGCTGCATACTCTTAATGTCGCTTTGCATTGTTGATCTTGTTCTTATTTTTGCCTGTTCCACAGCCATAAAAAACGTGTGTATTTCTTCCATTTGCATGTTTCTCAATTTATTAATGAAAAAGCATTATTGGAAGTTATCAAAATAGCTTTCAGAGAGACTTACAGATGCGAATAAATGAACATTAAATCGCCCGGGACTGTCACTTGTCAAATCTCAAAATATGTTACATAACCGGTTTATATCTTCAATAACTTCGTAATATCAGAAGTTTTGAGTTGAGATTTAAACTGTGTGTGCGAATTATCATTGCTTTAAGGAATAGGCATATTAAAGAATTTCAAAAAAAGCATACAAACCCACTTACCTGAAGGAATTACGTGCAGTCACATTGCTTTCTCTGGAATAACCTTTTTGTTGCTGTTCCTGGAATGTATCTTCTATTGCTGTATCTGAAATGATAACCTAGGATTCAGGCGTTGATATTTTTTGCTTATTCATAACACGCGCTATTTCATACTCGATCGTATTTTGATAATGTCGATTTGTAACGATAATTTTTGGTAGGCAATATGCCTGTATACATGGAAAAGAATTTGTACATGGCAAGCAATATATTGCAATGCAACCCATATTTCACTTTGCAGTAGTTGCTGAGAAAGTTATGAATAATTTGATCTCTTGACTGAGTATTTGGGAGATAAAGTACATTTGGAGAGGCAACCTCAATCACAACAGTGACTGATGAAATTTGTTTCTTATAGTTTCTTTTTCGGGGGAAAAGTTTTTCAGATTTGATCTATTATAAATTCATTTTTTTGTAATTTCAAAATAAAACTGCGATGTAATTTTAATGTATACTGTTTTAAGTTTTTATGATTAAAATTGTGAAAACGTTTACATACCATATTGCCTACTTTTTCAGAATATAATGCCAAATACAGAAAGACTATAACAGTTACTTAGAAAACATAACGGATTTGTTCAATTTTATGCTCATGTATACCACGACCTTTGTATGCCAGACTTTTTATTTTTTAAATCAATGAAAAATATCTGATAAATCATCCTGCATAGAGTGGTCGCTGACAAGGTTATCTATGAGATAAAGCACACTGTCAAAGGCAATATGTATGGTGAGATTTGTATGAATCCCTGGCTGTCTAAATGATTTATTCTCCAGCAATGGAATGTAATCCATGAATCTGAAAAATACTTTTTGTAGTGTAAAAAGTTTTATAACGATTGCACATGTCAGTTTATCAATTACCATCATCCTATAAAGATAGCAATTTGTGCAACAGTATATGCTGAAATATAATGTATTGTGGACAATAAGTTATTCACTTCTAAAAAGAAAAGTTTAATATTTCAAAAGTACTCTGATTTATTCACTGCTTAAAGTATACTGCAAGTCTTTACGGACAAAATTAATGCGAAATAACTTTTTGTGAATATAGTTGAAATAGATATTTGAATTATTGAAGTAGAACACATTCTCGTATTTAATTTATTGTTATGTAATAAATGGAACTTAATATTAAGCAATGTTTCTACCATATTCAATTTCTTGCATGTCATTCTATGAAATACCACCTTGTTTTAAATCTATCCCAAGAATGTCGCACTTTAAGTATGCGTCTTTAAAAAAGCCCCTTTTTAAAATTTACTTTGTGTTTAAGCAAAATCAAAGTCCCAATAGTAGCTGTGAATTTATATCTGCCTTTTTTTCCGTATGGTAAATGACTGTAGGTACTGTTTGTAATACATTCGGAAATGTAAATTTAACATGTTAAAAAAAAATAAGCCCACTATTAAATTAATACTAGTATACTCTGTTTATGAATTCGGGAAAAATAGTCCGCCCAAGACTGCAACTAGGAAAATATTCATGCATTTCATTTTATTATTTTTATTATTACTATTATTATTAGATTTATTATTATTTTGGCGCACGCATGTTTACAGCCACCATCGGATCGTCTTACATCTTAAGAATTGTTTTCTGAAATAATATTCAATATGAATATGACAAATATCCCTTTTGTAAAACTTCGTTATTTATAATATTCGGATTACTTAAATGAAGCCTAAAATTAAAATGCGGTGTAATTTGTGAATCATTTTCCTAAATTATGTTTAATTCGACAGGGAAATTCAATTGATCGGATTGGTTTGTTGCATTGTATTTTTAAAGTTAACAGCAATTTGTAGGTCTTTACGGACGACTGTGCAATAACGTTTCGTGAATGGCTAAAATCAATATTTCAAGGAAGTAGAACATTTCCTAAAATTACTTTAATTTAGTTATTCAACTTAAAACATCCCGGACAACGTCAATAAATGCATTCAAAGCTGAATATATAGTAATATAATAAAGCACAATGGGAGAGGCAACGTCAATAATCAGGGGTTTTCCCCTTGTATAGCAGGGGCTTCCCCACCCACCCTTAAAAATATGTCTAAAGTGGTGCGGTTTACCCCTAATATTCAATTTACATCAAGTTTTCGCTACCGATCTTGCAAAAATAATGGGTCATGTTCGCCCAAATTTATGTGAAGTACCCCTACCCCTAATTTTGATTTAAAAAAAAAACAAACAAAAAACTAATTATAGTTTGTTTGTTTTTCTGGTTTTAAGCCGTTTTTTAACACAAGTTTTTTTGTTTGTTATAGGCTCCTATCATTAAACCAGCTTTCCTTGTTAACAAATCAGTAATTACCAATTTCACCGCGAGTGGCCGACTACTTATCCTAAATGATATCTAAATCAGCGATTTCAGACAAATGACCATTTGACTTTTTGTCCGATAACAATTGTCATGGAAAATAAACGCATCGCCCAAATAAGGATCAGACCAGCTACCTCTGGCACGTGCTTATTAAGCAGTAACATGACCATCATTACTCTTACAGATAGGGTAAATAATAGCATCTGTATAGTGGTT